AGAGAGAGAGAGAGAGAGAGAGATTGATTGAAGCGAGGCCAGCTAGGCAGCTATTGCAGAAGGTGGAAGCCCGATTGCCCAATGCAAGGAGTTGTTTTTAGGAAGTGTGTCAACAGAGATGGAATTCCCCCATGCTGTCCTCCACTTGGTGCTTTCAGAGGCATGTTACTTATTAACCCAGGAGACTTGAATTGCTCCAGCAGTGAAAGTGAATGATTCTATAGACTCATCCACCGATGGATTCCTTCTGCTGGAGTCGTAGCCCATTCTTGGCGGTTTTCTGCCCTGTACAAGTGGGGACTTTGCTGGCTCTAACCTGAGCTACTCCTTAAGGGATGTGGTCGCAGTGCTCAGAAAGAAGGTGGTTCACTTTCAGTCTTTGAGACCCATGATCTCTAAACAGACAGAAGAAGGTTCCCAGTAGGTGTCTTACACCAGCATGAGGCCTGTGGACTGACTGTAAGAGCTGGAGGGGCCTCAGGATTCTTCTGACCCAAGGCCTTTCCCTTGCAGAGGAGGAGGCTGTGAAACAGAGAAATGATGCAACTTGACAATCAGAGTTCAGGTGTGAGGTCCTGCATTTGGTTTCCAAAACTGAATTGTATAAGCTCATGATTGGGAATTCCTAGTTTAGCAGTAGTCCTTATTTAAAAGTTTTGGGGTTAGTTGACAAAATCTTTGTGTGAGTTGGCACTAACATATGGTTGTTATGACAAATGACTATGCTATGTTTAAAGATATTCATTATATTTATAAAATAAAATGAATATGTGTTCATACTACAAATTTGAAAACTATTAAAAAGCATAAAGACAAAGTCAGAAATCACCCGTAAAATCCAACACGACTACATAAAGGCAATAATTGTAAATATTTTGTGTGTATGTATCTTTCAAAAATATTATATACAGCTATCATATTGCATCTACAATTCTGTATCAGACTTCTTAAAATTAAACTTTGTATTTTGAGATAATTGTAGATTCACATGCAGCTGTAAGAAATAACACAGAGATCCCATGTACACTTTACCAAGTTTCCCACAATGTTAACATCTTGCAAAATGATACAATCATTTGTACAATATTACAATCAGAATATTGACACTTATAATCTGCCAATATATTTAAATTTCCCTGTTTTACTTTTACACACTTGTGTGTGTGTTTAGTTCTCTACAATTTTATCACATGCTGTAGGTTCACCCATCCACACCGCAGTCAAGTTGCTAAACAGTTCTGTTACCGCAAAGAGCCCTCTCTTTGCCCTTTTATAATCACACTCTCTTCCTCTCATATCCCCTCACCTATTCTTATCCTTGTGTGTATTTCAGTTTCTACCAAAATGACTTGAAGGACATTTGAGTGGCTTCCAGCTTTTTACTATTAGGAATTAAGCTGCTTTGAACATTTACGCAAAACGTTGTATGTGAAGATAAGTTTTCATTTATCTGGGATAAGTGCCCAAGAGTACAATTACTGAATCACATAGTAATCACATGTTTAATTTATAAGAAACTGCCAGATTTTTTTCCCCTGGAGTGTTAATCTTACATTTTTAACCCATAGTGTGACTATTTCTCTGAGTAGTTAAATAGTTTTTGAAAAAACATGATTTTAAACCACTACATAAGATTGCATGGGATGGATGTAGCATAATTTATTCAAGCTTTTCCCTAATGTTGAACATTTTGGTTGTTTCAGATTTCTTTTTCCCTGCAGACACTTTAGGGTCCCTCAGGGAAATCTAACTCACAACATTCCTGTAGGGGGAGGTTTGGTGTTTGCTACCTATTGGGACCTCCCCAGTTCATTTTTGATAACCTGACATTGCAGTCAAAGTAAAATATGTTTGGTCCTTCCAGTTGTCAGAAGCAATTCTGCTTTCCTGCTCTGGCGGACAAGGAAGGGTGTCTGGGTGGAGAGAAGTAAAGCAGCAGAGAGGGAGGAACCAGTCTCTACCTCGCCTTGCTGTGGCTTGCTTGATGCTATCTATTCTGGTTTCTCTAATGTTAATCAGAGCCCCCTTGGAGCTAAATTTCCATAGCTCCGTAGCTGGGTTGGAGGGTCTGGGCAGAGTGACAGTAATGATTCTGAGTTGTGCTTTGACAAATACAGAAAGCTGTACCATTAGAGGGGAGGAGAAGGGAACAAGCATTGAGTTTTACTGGTGGGCTATTCACCGTGCTAAGCATTTTACATTATCTTATTGAATTTTCATTACTATTCTGCAAGGTAGCTATCGACATTATTTTATAGATGAGGAAAGTAAGAGTCAAAGATTGGCTATTTCCCTGGTTACAAATATATATATTTTGTAAAAATTTCAAACAAATAAACAAAAAAAGGAAGTGATAATTCCTTTTAATCTCACCTTTTAGAGAAAAAAGGGTTACTGTATAATCTTCCTTAACTTTAAAAATGTACACACAAACACATACACACACACACTATGTGTTTTATTTTTTACAAGAAACTGGAACCATATTATATATACTGGCTTGAAATTTGCCTTTTCTTTCTGCCGAAACCGGTTTGGCTCAGTGTATAGAGCGTCGGCCTGCGGACTGAAGGGTCCCAGGTTCGATTCCGGTCAAGGGCATGTACCTGGGTTGCGGGCACATCTCCAGTGGGAGATGGGAGATGTGCAGGAGGCGGCTGATCGATGTTTCTCTCTCATTGATGTTTCTAACTCTCTATCTCTCTCCCTTCCTCTCTGTAAAAAATCAATAAAATATATTTTAAAAAAATTTGCCTTTTTTTCTCCTAACAGTGTATCCTGGTTATCCTGTTTTGTAATTGATTAGTCTTATTCATGAAAGCAGGGCTTTTGGGGGAGTTAGAACTCTCTAATGACACACTTAGTTGTGTGACTTTATTAAAAAAGTCACTTTACCTCTTGGGACTCCAGATTCCCCCATTTGCAAAATGGGAGCAGGGCACAGAGGATTCCGTGATCTAATGCCAATGAGCAGGGCACCTCAGGCCCCTGCCCTCCTCGCGACTATCTGGGACGTTCTCTAAAGTCCAAGCCCTTAGACTTGGATGGCAGCAGCCACTTTCAGTAACTCAGATGACAAAGCCGCCGCCAGCGGTGCCAGGCAACTCAGCAGAGCACCGCGTACTCCAGCTGATCCTCGGGGAGGGTGGTGATCCTGACTAGATCATAAGCTAGCTGAAGGCAAGGACCGAGTCTGTGTTGTTTTCCATTATAGATCCCCATAATTAGAATGGTTCTTAGCATGTACTTGGCATGACAAAAATTATTTGTTGAATAAGTAAATTTCTTTCTTATGCAACATATAATTATTTACTGAGCACCTACTAGATATCACACACCATTCTAGATGCATCATAATAAGACAGTCAATGACCTCTTCCCTAACCCTGCCCCCTGAGGCAGGAGCGGCGCTGTGGCCCTCGCTTGACAGATGAGGAACTGGGCCCTGAGAGGGGATGTGACTTGCCTGAAGTTGCCGGGCGAGCCCGGAGCCTCGCGGAGGCTGCAGCCCAGGTGCCCTCGCTCCGGGCCAGGGCTCCGTGCTGCACCCCAGCCTTGCAGCAGGTGCTGGCAGACCTTGGCCAGGGGGTTGGGGTGGGTGCACGAGGCTTTCGGAGCGAAGGCGGGGTGGATGCTTGGATCTGGGCAACACGAGGCTCTGTAGTTGGCTCCCGAGGGCCCTGGGAGCCACGGGGTCTGCAGCCCACAAGGTGAGCTGGTTCCAGGACGGGCGGTGTTTGCTGAAGATGGCCTTGCCAGCGACTCCTCGGCAGTGTTGCTTCAGCAGTTGAGGAAGACCTCGCTGCACAGTTTCATACGTTAAATGTCTCCTGCTCAGGCATGAGTTTCCGTTGAGAAGCTCTCGGAATTTATAGGTGTCTGTTGGCTGACTTCAGTGAATGTTGACAGGTGAATTGGAGAGAGGCAGTGAGCGAGCAGCAGGAGTTGGAGGGGAGCTGGGAGGCCGGGGTTCTTGTCTTGCCAGAATTACCGGCTCCTTGGTGGCCAAAGCAAAGCATCTCAGTTCTCCAGGCCTCAGTGTCCTGATCTGTAAAATGGGGGTGTTGGGTTGGTACTGGTCGCCATAAACCTTTCCAGGTTGTATGCTCTAGTGCAGTGGTTCTCAACCTTCTGGCCCTTTTAAATACAGTTCTTCATGTTGGGACCCAACCATAAAATTATTTTCGTTGCTACTTCATAACTGTAATGTGGCTACTGTGATGAATCATAATGTAAATATCTGATATACAGGATGGTCTTAGGCGACCCCTGTGAAAGGGTCGTTCGACCACCAAAGGGGTCGCGACCCACAGGTTGAGAACCACTGCTCTAGTGTGATTGCTCCCCCCAAGGAGGTGACTTCTTTAGCTGACACTCTGAGCAGCTAGTTGCAAGGGCTTTGGGATGCCTGGATGACTTGAAGGAGTCAGCCAGTGCCCCTCACCATGAGCCCTGAAATCCTGGAATGGTGGCGCTGGGAGGAGGACCATGGAGGTTCTCTTGCTCTCTCTTGTCCAAGACCCGGACCCAGTATCTCCTGCTTCCTGCGTCAGCGTTTTTAACACCCGACATTTCCACACTTACTAGAAGGTCAAACCAGATATCTAATATCAGACAAGAACTTACGTGCTATTACAGTAATATGTTTTTAAAGTTCTCTAGATCGCCAACTTGAATTTTTATTTAGCACCCAGAAGCCACAGCAAGAGGAAAAGGCTGTATTAACTCTGTGGAATGAGGGGAGGATTCCCTTCCGTCCTTCACCACCTTCTCTCCCTAGGTGGACAAGATTGTGGACCAGTTGCAGCAGTTAATGCAGGTGTATGACTTGGCTGCCCTGCGGGATTATTGGAGCTACCTGGAGCGGCGACTCTTCAGCCGCTTGGAGGATATATACAGACCCACCATCAACAAACTGAAAACCAGCCTGTTCCGCTTTTATCTTGTCTACACAATTCAGGTGCTTGTTGATTCAGGGATTCCTTGGTGGAAAGAGTTATTTGATCCAGAAACAGATTTTCTTTTCACTTCTAGAGAGGACTCTTTGTGTTACTCTGGGAAAGGGTGAAACAGTCGCAGTGCAAGTTGTTTTTGACTGTTTTCCTAATCCCCCCTCCCCTTTCTCATCTGCAGATCACATGACTTGTTTTCCTCATTTCAATTTCTCCTCTTGTTTTAAGCATGCAAGTCTGGCTGGTAGTTTTTTAAATATATTTTTATTGATTTCAGAGAGGAAGGGAGAGGGAGAGATGGAAACATCAATGATGAGAGAGAATCATTGATCGGCTGCCTCCTGCACTCCCCTTACTGGGGATTGAGTCTGCAACCCGGGCATGTGCCCTGACTGGGAATTGAACCATGACCTCCTGGTGGTTCATAGGTTGACAGTCAACCAGTGAGCCACACTGTCTGGGCCTGGCTGATGTTTTAAAGAATATAAGTACCTGGTTTAAAATTTGCATCATAAAGATTATAGCTCATCTGGGGGAATAGTTAATTAGATTGTTTGAAAATCAACTAGGAATTAATTTTTAGGATGGCAGTTATCATCAGACTTCAGTTTAAACCAACTTCTTTGAAATTACAAGGAACTTGAGAAATGAGTGATGATTTCCTTTATTTTATGGAGTGTGTAGATTATGTTTGGCCACTTACCTAGCAAGCTGATATTCAAAGGCAACGATGACGAATCTTACCTCTGGACTTCTGTCTCTTCCCTCTCCTTGCCTCTGTGTCTTGGCAGACAAACAGAAATGACAAGGCTCAGGAGTTCTTTGCAAAGCAGGCCACGGAGCTCCAGAACCAGGCGGAGTGGAAGGATTGGTTTGTCCTGCCCTTCCTGCCGTCTCCAGACACCAACCCCACCTTTGCTACCTACTTTTCTCGTCAGTGGGCCGACACCTTCATTGTGTCCCTGCACAACTTCCTGAGCGTCCTGTTTCAGTGCATGCATATCCTTTCAGCTGCCTGGGGCTGTGGGCCTACCCTGATGCATCCAGGCAATGTGATCAGTGGCTGCTGCTCCTGATGCAATCAGTTCTTCCACCAAATGCCCAAGGATCATTGTCATGTGTCATGTGAGGCGGCTGGACAGATTGTGGTTATTTTTGTCAGGAGGCCAGGGAATCATAAGTCTTAGTTCTGACACTCTGCTGAAGTAATAGTTGCCATGGGGGACTGTAGCAGCGGTGGGGTGCCAGTGTGGGGCTCTGAGAGGAGCCCTCAAGCAGGTCTGAGGGCCTCTTTGGGCAGATATAGGGGTTGGTATGCAGCTGCTGCTTAGTGACACCAGCCATCCTGGAGAGCACCATCTCTGTGCCGCCCCCCCCCTCCCCCCCGGGATATCTATCTCTTGCCTTTGTTGGGATTAGGCAGCAGATGAGAACACTTCTTGGGCTGGAACTTCCTCCCTAGATTAGTGTTTGGGTCGCTTTCTCTGACAGTGACTTCAGAGTTCCTCAAGTTGCCAGAAAACAGCAGCTCTAAGAATATATGTGTGGTTATTTGAGAGAGAATGTAAATGGTTTACGGCTACCATATTGCCCATTTTGTCAGGAAATGCTTTGATCCCAGGCCTGGGACCATTATCCGTTGCTTGTGCTCTGTAGGCTGGGACTCTGGGGGCGGAGAAGAGTCTGGGTCGAATGGGGCTGCCTGGCGAGTCACTGATAACTGGGCCATTGTGGAGGCCCACCCAGCAGCCAGTTGGGAGGAACATCTGCTGGTGGAGGTAGGGAGGGTGCCCTTTCCTTTTGCGTTGTGGCTGCTGGGAGTTCTGCTCTTACCAGCTTTGCCTTCCTCTGGCCCTGCTGCTCTGCCTCCTGAGGGCTTTCAAATGAAACCAGCAGCGGCTCAGGCCAGAGGTGGTTATGGCACACCACGTGGGCCCTCTACGGAAATGGGAAATGTCACTCTAGGTCTTTTCAGTGCAAGACAGTGCCCATTCGAACCTCCGTTCACTTCCTCAGTGCTGAGGCCCTGCCTGCTTTGCGCTCCTCCTGACTGCTGCT